GAGAGAGAGAGAGAGAGAGAGAGGAAAAGTGAGAAAGCAAGCCACTAGGTCCAACACTTGAACCACAGTTGGCCATGTGGGAGTCCAGCACCTTGAACCACCACACCTCCTGCTGACCCCATCCCCATAGAGGTTTTTAATCATCAAATTGGTAACCTCTGAGATGGTCAGAATGGAACCACAAGACTTCTTTCAGGACAACCCCAAATGGGCCTATGAAACAGCCTCCTGGGCAACGGTATCAAAGTTGTCCACCCCACTCTTCCTCCCAGTTGTTTCACACTGATGTGGTGACACTCATCCCCTCTCAATGGGGTGGCCAATGTCTATGGGACAGGAGAGACTTGGCCATCACCTGAGTCACTAAATTCAGTGTATAGATTTATTTTTTTTTAAGATTTATTTATTTGTCACAATTGTTTATTATTTTTCAATTTGACCACAGAGAGACAGAGAGAGAGAAAGGGAAAGTAATAAGTCAGTTGCCAGGTCTGGGACCTGAACCATGGTCGGCCATGTTCAGTGCTTTAACCACTTGCCACCTGCCAGCCCCACATGTACAGTTTTATATCTCATCTTCCTTAACCTTTCAGTATTCATTTCCTTTACTTCCTTCTTTGTACCTAAAATATCTGCCTCAGCTGTGTTCCCTGAGAGACAGACTGTGATCAAGATTCCAGCTCATGAGGTTTATTTGGGAGTGGTGGGGGCAAATGACACAGGAATAGAAAGGCGCCCCAAAGGAGTGCACCATTAAAGCAGCCCACAGTAGGTGCCTGAAGCTTAACACTGTGGGTATCCAGAATTATCTTAGGCAAAGAATGAAAGAGCTGGGGGGCGGGGGGGGAGATCCATAACCACCACGCCTGTCAGTCATCGGTAAGGGAATCCTGGTGGGAAGCAGTAATTCTCATGCCCTTCATTTTTTATTGCCAGAGGGCATGTGCATTTGCTGGAAAAAAACAAAAAGCAAGAAAACAAAAACAAAAACGAAAACAGAGAAAGTACACCCCAGTGGGGTGTGGTCATAACACAATCTTTTTTCCTATCTTTCTCCAACCTGTCAGAATTTTGGGTATGCACACACATGTGCCTGGTGTGTTGAAATCTTTCAAGTGGGTGGGGTCAGGATTCAAACTTCAGTCAGCTATGTGCAATCTGGCTCCCAGTGCACACCACCGAAAAACCGCTAAGGGGCTGGCCTTTCCGTGCCATTTGGACTCATCATGCACACTGCCAAAGCAGGTTCACAAAGCCCTAGTAGCCCTCCATCTCAGCTGCTGTTCTGGCTGCTGGAAGTCAGACTGAATGCGCTGACAGTAAGAGGGCCTGAGGGAACCTGGGTAGGCACCAACAGCAACTGCCACTGTTCCCTTCCCTTGGCTTCTGCGTGGCCCTGACCCTCCTCCTGCCTCCTCTCAGCCTCCTGACCACTCGAGATTTTTTTTTCTTTTTGGTAATAGGGTGTGCACACTTGCCGGAAAGGAGAGAGAGGGAGACAGTAAGAAGTAAAGTGAGAAACCCTCCTCCTGCCTTCAGGGGAGATGGCCACACCACAATCTCTTCTCCATTCTCCTGGGATTTGGGCACACAAACATGTGCCTGGTGTGTTTCAAACCACCAGGTCCAGGACTTGAACTGCGATTGACCATGTAAAAGTCCAGCAATGCAAACACTATGCCACCTGCTGGTCCCCCAGTACAGGTTCGAGGGCCGTAAGTCTCCTCTTATCCCAGTTTCCATTTACTCACATAGCTTCAGCCATCACCTCTATATGGATGACTCAGAAATGAACTTGTCTCATACTCCAGATCTATTACTCCAGCCACTTGGCAGTGCTATTAAAAAACAAAGCAAAACACAACTGAGCTCTTGACTTTCCTGCTCTCCCATCCCAAAATCTTATCATGTGACTATAGTTTCCTGTGGCCGGTAAAACAACAGAAGTTTCAAATAGGTTTTTTTTTTTTTTTTTTTTTTGCTATAGGGCTGTGCACTGACTGGAAAGACACAGAGAGACCGTGAGAAATCACTCCTCCATGGAGTATAGCTAGGCCACAGTCTCTTCTCCTCCATTCTCCTCTTAGGATTTTGGGCACCCACACACGTGCCCAGCATGAGTTTAAAGCCCCAGGGTCGGGATAGAACTGTGGGCCTTGTGGGAGTCCAGCCATGTATAACCATTAGCCATCTGCTGGTCCCAATGACAGAAATGTCAAACAGAAATGTATTCTTTCACAATTCTGGAGGCTGGAAGTCCCAAACCTAGGTGACTCCAGGGCCACGCCCCTTGTGGAGAGGTTAAGGGAAAATCGGTCCCTCTCTTCTAGCTTGAAGTGTGTCAATCTTCTCGTAAAATGCTGGCTGATGTGCTGTCAGGAATATGGAGAGGACTGAGCTATTCTCCACGGAGCCGGTCCGCTGTTACAGAATGCCTGACACACATATGTACTGGGTTTACTCATTTTGTTCAATTAACTTCTGGCGTTCCAGTAACGACTGGCCCTGGGGAAACAGAGACAAATACGCCAGTACCCCGTCCTTCCACTCCTCAGGCTGGGGAAAGCGTTCCTATACATCAACCATTACAATCGACAGGCAAAAGGTCTGCCATTAGGAAACAAAGTTAGAGCCCCTCCTCAGATCACACGCCCAACTGAACTGTAAGCCGATGAAAGATTTAAGTGCAAAAAGAGAAGCCTTGAACGACTTCTGTATATAGTGGACGCGTGAAAGGGTCTCCGAGCGTGACTCTAAAAGCAGAAACCACAGACGACCACGTAAAATGGATACATTTGCAAGGGCTGAAGACAAAGGTGCATGCTGTCAATACATAAGCGGCAGCCGGGCCAGCAGGCAGGAGGCGAGCAACAGATCCCACTGTGCTGAAACGGGCAACGCAGGCGACCACGAACACAAGACCTTCCGCCTCGCTAACCAGCTCAGTTACGACAGCGGTAAACTCTCATCTGCACTCAGACTGGCAGACTGAAACACGCGGCTGACTTCCTGCCAGGGCTGCGAGGCGGCCGTGCCTCCGGAGGACTCGGCAAAGCCCTGGGAGCGCAGGTCCCGGAAGACTCGTGCCCTTTGACCCCGGAAGTGCGCGCGCAGAATCGCGGGCGCTTTGCGACACGGCCGAAAAGACGCGCGGCAGCATGGCGTTGTACGCGGCTGCGGCGGCGGTGCTGGCGGGCGTGGAGAGCCGCCAGGGCTCCATCAAGGGGCTGGTGTACGCCAGCAGCTTCCAGGTAGCGGGGCCGGGCGCAGGGGGCGCAGGAGGCGCGGGTGGGGAGGGCCGGGGTCGGGGCCGGGGCCCAGCGCGTCTCCCGTCGTCGCCCACAGAACGTGAAGCAGCTGTACGCGCTGGTGTGCGAGACGCAGCGCTACTCCGCGGTGCTGGACGCCGTCATCGCCAGCGCCGGCCTCCTCCGCGCCGAGAAGAAGCTGCGGCCGCACCTGGCTAAGGTAACGGACACACCGACGGATGGATAGCCGGGCAGCCGGGCGGGGCGCACGACGTGGCAGGAGCTAGTCGCTCACTGAGCCACGCACTGAGATGGGCTGGAAATACTTTCACTTCGAACCTTGTGTGAAGGACTGAGCAAGAAGAGAAGTACAAAGTAGTGGTGGTGGAAACTTTTCAGTAAGAGTAATGTCAAAAGGCTATGTCGGCGGGAACCAGCAGTTAGCGTAATGGCTATGTCGCTGGACTCCCACGTAGTCGACCGCGGTTCGCGACCCGGACCCGGTGGCTTAGAACTCACGCCGAGCGCGTGTGCGTGCGTGCCCAAGAGCCCGAGAGGAGAAGGGGTTGCGGCGTGACCATCCCCCCTGGGGGGTGATTTCTCGCTTTCTGTCTCTCTGTCTGTCTGGCGAGCGCACACGCCCTATAGCAAAAACCTCTCCAAAAAAAAAATAGGCTATGTCGGCCAGGAGGACTGGGGTCCACAGCCCTTGGGTGTGAGCAGCCATGGGGAGAGGGTCCAGGACTAGGAAGCAAAAGAGTGTGTATGTACCGCTAGTTTCTTATGTGATCTTAGACAAGGTGCCCTGCCTTTACCTGTAACTGTCAAAACAGGTGTCCTTTTAGCCTTTCCGGCTTTAATCCCTATAGCTCTGAGGTTTCATGCTTAGGCTTTGTCTTCTCTCCACCTTGCAGGTGCTGGTGTATGAGTTATTGCTGGGAAAGGGCTTTCGAGGGAGTGGGGGCCGATGGAAGCCTCTCCTGGGTCGCCACCAGGCGAGGCTCAAGGCCGAGCTGGCCAGGCTCAAGGTTCATCGGGGTGTGAGCCGCAATGAGGACCTGTTGGAAGTGGGGTCCAGGCCTGGCACAAGTAAGTTGGAGGGAAAGGTAGGGAAGGGGGTGGTGGGGAAGCCATCAGGCCTTCAGAGGCAAGGGCTGCTCCTACTCACTGCTAGTTACTTCCCAGCCTGCCAGGTGCCTCGATTTGTACGTGTGAACACACTCAAGACCTGCTCTGATGATGCAATTGATTATTTCAAGAGACAAGGTTTTTCTTACCAGGGTCAAGCTTCCAGGTGAGAACTTAGAACCCTGCCTGGGTGCCTTCCTGAGGTGGTGTCTGGGAGTGCTGGGGAAACTGACCCCTGGGAAGAGAAAGGTTTGGCGGTGTGGCTACACCCTCTGCTTTCCTTCTGCCTTTCCATTAGTGTCTGAGTCTTCTCTAAGGTCTGTCTTCCTCCCATCCTTTAAATAGCAATACTCCTGGGACTTCCAGCCCACACTCTTATAATATTTGTCAGTTTTCTTCTGTAGCTCTCAGGCCTACCTGGTAATTCCTGGCTTTCAGTCTAGGTTTCTTACCCCTTCAGATTCATATGACTGCTCCTTAGACACTACCACTGTTAACATATGTCAAACTGAATTCGTCTTCTCTCTCAAAGTTTGGACTTTCTGTATCCTTTTTTTAATTTTTTTATTTTTGAGAGTAAGCATGGGAGGGAGGGAGATACATGATAAATGATTTCAGTAAAGTGGCAGGAACAAAATCATGCAAAAGCAATAGCATTTTTTTGATGGGGTGTGACTGTCTCAGCTAGGCAGCAAGGACCACAGGTGCAAGTCACCTTTTTGGCCTGTTTAGTTTGGGCCACAAACTGAATGGGGTCTGTCCACAGCCACTGTGCAGCAATGACCTCTCGCTTCTTCCGCTGCTATGGCTGGGCCTGCACCCCTGATGTACAATCATAGACGTTCACTTGGTCACACCAAATCTAGGTGTCCTAGGTGCTTCCTTCCTTTCCCTGCTGTCATCTGCTGCTCCGCCATTAGCATCTACCTCAGAACACCTTTCTTGTCCCCTTGAACACTGCTTAGGTTTGGGCATTCACTGTTTCCTGTCAGGATTGGCAGAAGAATCTCTGAGAGTGGTCTCCCACTTCTAGGCTCTCTCTCTTCATTTTCCTCACGGTTAGCTGCAGAAGGACCTAAATCCAGATCTGGTGCTGTCGCTCCTCCCTCTGTGCTGTGCCTGCTGCTTCTCTCCAGGCCCCTCTGCTGTAGTGCTGTGTGCACCAGGTGTTAACGGCAACCACTGCTGGTCCCTGCTGGGTGCTCCCCACCCTCCACTGCACTCACACCAGCCTTGTTTTGTCCTTAGGCAGCTCCGAGAAGCTGTGTCCCACTCTCCCTTTCCTTCTGCCTCTAGCATGTTGCTTGGAGACCAGGGCGGACTAGTAGAGAATGGCTTCGCACTTCCAGCCCTGCCATCTGACAGCTTTCTGAATGGCGACGTTACTCCCTAGGGCTGGATTCTGCATCAGCCAGGTGGAGTGGACAGTATGCCAGCGCAGTTACAGTGAATGTAGTCTTAACCTCAGCCCCTCACCCATCAGCAGCCAGCTCAGCTCTCTGTCCAGACTCCTGTAAAGAACTCCCAAGGCTAAGCTTTAACAGTAATGGCTAACATTTATTGAGTGCTTAATTTGTGCTAAGTTTTTGTTGTGTGTGTGTGTGTGTGTGTGTGTGTGTAGTTGTTGCTATAGGGTGTGTGTTCTCGGTGGAGAGAATAAGGGCAAGTGAGAAAGCACCTCCAAGGGGGTGTGATAATGCTGCACTGCAGTCCCTTCTCCATTCTCTTCCTGGGATTTTGGGCATGTACCCACAGGCACCTGGTGTTTCTTAAGCTGCTAGGTCCAGGACTCAGAACTGGCCAGTTGGCCAGGTAGGATCCAGCCGCCTTAACCACTGCATGACCTGGCTGGCCCTCACCCTGTTTCTTTCTCCATAGCCATTTAAAATATTTTGTTGGGACCAGCAGATGGTGTAGTGGTGGCACCGCTGCACTCCCACATAGTCAGCTGTGGTTCATGTCCCAGACCCAGTGACTAAGCTGGGTGCATGTGCATGCATGCTCAAGATCCCAATAAAAGAATGGAGAAGGGATTGCAGCATGACCATGCCCTGTGGGGGCGGGGTGTGTGTGTTGATTTCTTGCTTTCTATCTCTGGCAAGCACACGTGCCCAGAGCAGAAATCTCTCAAATGTGTGTTGCATGGGTGAACAGTTAAAGTGGGGACTGGCATGGAGGCATTCAGAAAACACTGAACCTATGGTCCTTCTCTGACCACCCCCTAACCTCTTCCCTGGCAGCCTTGACGACTTAAAGGCCCTCAAGGGGAAGCATTTTCTTCTAGATCCCTTGTTACCAGACCTGTTGGTGTTTCCTGCCCAAACAGATCTACATGAACATCCACTGTACCAAGCTGGTCACCTCATCCTCCAAGACAAGGTAGAGATGGGTATAGGAAAGGTTTTGTGGGCAAGTGACCAGCCTTGGGTCTCTGTTCAGCCAGCCACTGTGCTCTGCCTTGTCAGGCCAGCTGTCTCCCAGCCATGCTGCTAGCCCCTCCGCCAGGTTCCCATGTCATTGATGCGTGTGCTGCCCCAGGCAATAAGACTAGTCACTTGGCTGCTCTTCTGAAGAACCAAGGGTGAGTTCCATGATCAGGAGGAGAAGAAAGGGGATCCTGCACTTTGTAGGATTTCTCTATTCTGATAGGTAATGAAGGCTGAAAGGATGACTGTCCCATAATCATTTCCTTCTGGATTGATAGCAGTTCGTGGTAGAGCCCCAAGCTAAGCTTCCTATTTGGGTGCAGGTGTAAACTATGAGGCAAGGCTCCTAGAGCAGTTAACTCCGACTATAGACTTTTACAGGCCATTTAACAAGTGTTTTCTGTATCCTGACTTAATGTATCCGCTGTCGGTATGTCAGAGCTGTACGTAATTTAGATGTCCATAAATTCTCAGTTTATCCCAACTCTGGCCTCTTCCCTAGGAAGATCTTTGCCTTCGACCTGGACGCCAAGCGGTTGGCGTCTATGGCTACCCTGCTGGCCCGGGCTGGAGTCTCTTGCTGTGAGTTAGCTGAGGAGGACTTCCTGGCGGTCTCACCTTCAGATGAGCGTTATCGTCAGGTCCAGTACATCTTGCTGGATCCTTCTTGCAGTGGTTCTGGTGAGCTGAGGAGAAAATGTGGCTCAGGGACTCTCAGAGCAGCAGCATAAAGCTTGGTTTTTAGCTTTGGTCTTAGCTGTAACTCCTTATTGTGTATGTGTGTACTTTTTTTTTGGTCACCAGAAGGCATATGTACTTGGTAGAGAAAGCACCCCCACAGTTGGGTGCAGTTAACGCCTCAGTCCCTCTTCATCCTGTCAGGATCTTGGGCACTAATGCATGCATGCCCAGTGGTTTTCAAGTGGCTGGGACCAGGATTCAAACTATAGTCGAACATGTGGGACTTGGCTCCCTCTGTTCATTGCTTAACCACTGCATTATGGGGCAGCCCAGTTGACTTTTTAATGGTCTTGGGACTGTGGGCAAATGTTTTCATCTGTATAGTGAGGGTTTCAGTATGAAACCAGGTGCTTGGTACTGTTGGTTCATAGGGAAAGTCAGGATGCATTTTTGCTTAGAAAAACAGACAATACGTCATGAATTCCCTGGCTGCTTAATATATAATTGAAACACTCTTCCTTAGGTATGCTGACCAGACAGTTGGAAGAGCCTGGAGCAGGTACACCTAGCAAGGAACGCTTACATGCCCTGGCAGGGTTCCAGCAGCGAGCTCTATGCCACGCACTCACTTTCCCCTCCCTCCAGCGCCTTGTCTACTCTACGTGTTCCCTTTGCCAAGAGGAAAATGAAGATGTGGTGCGGGAGGCCCTACAGCAGAGCCCAGGCACCTTCAGGTAGTGGGTGTCTAACAGGGTCCCAAGGACAGGGGCTGAGTGCTCTTACCTATCCTGTGTTGTTTCTCCTGCAGGCTAGCTCCCGCTCTGCCCTCCTGGCCCCACCGAGGCCTTAGCACTTTCCCAGGTGCCGAACACTGCCTCCGGGCCTCCCCTGAGACCACACTTACTGGAGGCTTCTTTGTTGCTGTCATTGAGCGGGTGGAGGTGCCAAGGTGAGTGAGTAGGAACCCGACTGGAAGATGCTGGATGACTGGGCACGTCTAACTTCTATACTTTTCTTCTAGTTCAGCCCCACAGGCCGGAGCACTGGCACCAGAACCTACACCCAGCCCAGCCCGAAAGAAAAAGAAGAGACGGCGAACAGCAGCAGCTGGTCCTAGCCTACAGTCTTGCACATAGCTGTGCTCAAGGCTCCTACTTCTTCCTGGAGTTCTCTCCTTGGCTAGACCACTTGGCCCCTCACACCTGGGGGGCAATTTGGGTTTGGGGGGCAATTTGGGTTTTCAGGTAGCTTTTATTGCTAGAAAGTTAACTGGTAACCCAGTTTCTCCAGCTAGAAAGAGCAGATTTCCCAGTCCCTGGGTTCATTCCCTGGGCTGTTTTCTTGCTGATGAATGAAGTGCTGCCCACCAAAATAAAAGGAAGACATGGTCTATGATAGATCACAGTTGTTGTTGTTGTTTTATTCTTAATGACATAAGCAAGGAGAAAACTCCCACATTCATACTAAAAATCCCAACTAGACTCAACAGGAATGAAGTCTTATCTGTATGGAAAGTCCCAGCCTCCCGTTCCTCCGTATGTCTAGTGCACATACGTGTACACATCCACACTCACTCACTCACACAGGCTACAGGAGGACCCCCCTTTCAGAGGGTTCCTGGACCCACTGTCCTGCCTGTGAACTGAGGTAAACTAGCCCAGAGTTCTAAAACGAGGATCTACCTTACATAAGGTATAGGTAGAAGCTTGACTCTATACCCACACCCCACCCCCACCCCTCCAATCCTAATAGGTACTTGGGACTTGAGGTTCAGGCTCCTTCTTCAGCTCTGTGCACACTCTTCCCTAGGAAGATCTTTGCCTTCGACCTGGACGCCAAGCGGTTGGCGTCTATGGCTACCCTGCTGGCCCGGGCTGGAGTCTCTTGCTGTGAGTTAGCTGAGGAGGACTTCCTGGCGGTCTCACCTTCAGATGAGCGTTATCGTCAGGTCCAGTACATCTTGCTGGATCCTTCTTGCAGTGGTTCTGGTGAGCTGAGGAGAAAATGTGGCTCAGGGACTCTCAGAGCAGCAGCATAAAGCTTGGTTTTTAGCTTTGGTCTTAGCTGTAACTCCTTATTGTGTATGTGTGTACTTTTTTTTTGGTCACCAGAAGGCATATGTACTTGGTAGAGAAAGCACCCCCACAGTTGGGTGCAGTTAACGCCTCAGTCCCTCTTCATCCTGTCAGGATCTTGGGCACTAATGCATGCATGCCCAGTGGTTTTCAAGTGGCTGGGACCAGGATTCAAACTATAGTCGAACATGTGGGACTTGGCTCCCTCTGTTCATTGCTTAACCACTGCATTATGGGGCAGCCCAGTTGACTTTTTAATGGTCTTGGGACTGTGGGCAAATGTTTTCATCTGTATAGTGAGGGTTTCAGTATGAAACCAGGTGCTTGGTACTGTTGGTTCATAGGGAAAGTCAGGATGCATTTTTGCTTAGAAAAACAGACAATACGTCATGAATTCCCTGGCTGCTTAATATATAATTGAAACACTCTTCCTTAGGTATGCTGACCAGACAGTTGGAAGAGCCTGGAGCAGGTACACCTAGCAAGGAACGCTTACATGCCCTGGCAGGGTTCCAGCAGCGAGCTCTATGCCACGCACTCACTTTCCCCTCCCTCCAGCGCCTTGTCTACTCTACGTGTTCCCTTTGCCAAGAGGAAAATGAAGATGTGGTGCGGGAGGCCCTACAGCAGAGCCCAGGCACCTTCAGGTAGTGGGTGTCTAACAGGGTCCCAAGGACAGGGGCTGAGTGCTCTTACCTATCCTGTGTTGTTTCTCCTGCAGGCTAGCTCCCGCTCTGCCCTCCTGGCCCCACCGAGGCCTTAGCACTTTCCCAGGTGCCGAACACTGCCTCCGGGCCTCCCCTGAGACCACACTTACTGGAGGCTTCTTTGTTGCTGTCATTGAGCGGGTGGAGGTGCCAAGGTGAGTGAGTAGGAACCCGACTGGAAGATGCTGGATGACTGGGCACGTCTAACTTCTATACTTTTCTTCTAGTTCAGCCCCACAGGCCGGAGCACTGGCACCAGAACCTACACCCAGCCCAGCCCGAAAGAAAAAGAAGAGACGGCGAACAGCAGCAGCTGGTCCTAGCCTACAGTCTTGCACATAGCTGTGCTCAAGGCTCCTACTTCTTCCTGGAGTTCTCTCCTTGGCTAGACCACTTGGCCCCTCACACCTGGGGGGCAATTTGGGTTTGGGGGGCAATTTGGGTTTTCAGGTAGCTTTTATTGCTAGAAAGTTAACTGGTAACCCAGTTTCTCCAGCTAGAAAGAGCAGATTTCCCAGTCCCTGGGTTCATTCCCTGGGCTGTTTTCTTGCTGATGAATGAAGTGCTGCCCACCAAAATAAAAGGAAGACAGTGTCTATGATAGATCACAGTTGTTGTTGTTGTTTTATTCTTAATGACATAAGCAAGGAGAAAACTCCCACATTCATACTAAAAATCCCAACTAGACTCAACAGGAATGAAGTCTTATCTGTATGGAAAGTCCCAGCCTCCCGTTCCTCCGTATGTCTAGTGCACATACGTGTACACATCCACACTCACTCACTCACACAGGCTACAGGAGGACCCCCCTTTCAGAGGGTTCCTGGACCCACTGTCCTGCCTGTGAACTGAGGTAAACTAGCCCAGAGTTCTAAAACGAGGATCTACCTTACATAAGGTATAGGTAGAAGCTTGACTCTATACTATCCACACCCCACCCCCACCCCTCCAATCCTAATAGGTACTTGGGACTTGAGGTTCAGGCTCCTTCTTCAGCTCTGTGCACAGCTAAGTATTAACGTGAGTCAGGCTCAGGGCTCTTGGGGGTGGGGAGGAGCAGTCCCCTGCACACAACATTCAGCCTCAGTCACAGAGGAGGGAGGGAGACTAGTTACAGCTACGTCACATTATTTATAAAATAAGAATTACAGTTTATATAACATGTCCAGAAGGAGCTCTAGTCCCTCAGGAAAGCTGCCTAGACAGCATCTGAGCCTCTTCTTCACACAGGCATAACTTAACTATACAGCTAATTCCTAGTTGATAGCATTTATACTTAACCACCTCAATGAACCAAGCTTGAAGGAATTTAAAAGGCAATTTAGCTTAAATACAAAAATAAATTTTTATTTTGTTAAAAAATGTTTAAATATTTTTTTTCTTTTAATTTAGACACACGCATTCATACTTCTCCCAAAGAGGATGGGCATGGCAGCAAGGCTCTTGGGCCTGGGATATGTGGTCTGGTAACAAAGAAAAGGGGAAGGGTTGGTGAAGGCCCTGTTTGGGGAAAGTAAAATACGTTTTTAAAGTAAGGCCCATTAATTTAGGTTTCCTAATGTATGCTAGGGGAATCTATCCTATAGTGAGGTCGGGTAAGGGGGGGAAGGGAGCAGAGGAGAGAGGTCTTTGCTTCCCCTGGGCCCCATCCTCCTGGGCTGCCAGCCCTTAAAGTCAAAACACCATTTGAAAATTCAGGAGTCAGCACTTGTAGCATAAAGTGGTGCTACTTTCCACATTCAATTAGCTAGGCCTCAGAAAACTTGAAACAAGTCCGGCACTACCAACATGCCGCCACTCATACAATTCAATTCTTCCTCCAAACTCGATTCAAAGAGCAATAGACATGAGCGTCAGACACAGTAACACAGGACAAGGCTTGAAACATACAATCCTGGAGAGGCAGACGAGGGCCCTGTGAGGCCAACAGGGTAAGTGGGTTGAGGAGGCAGCTGAAAGCAGTGGTGGGCATCCTGCCTGCTCCAAGAGTTTCTCCCTCCTAGAGCGAGGTATCTCACCCCTGGGTCTGCCAGGCTAACAGTCTTGAGCCACCAAGCTCTTAGGGGCCAAACTGGCAGAGAAGGTTGGAGATGAAACTGATTCAGACTTGGCAGGAGGAAATGGAACAGCAGGAGCAGCACCCACTGGGGTCTCCAAGGCAAAGCTAGATTCAGGTCATTTTGAAAGGAAATCAATCCTACAAAGAACCAGTGAGGAACAAAGCAGCAAGAAATGGGGAGAGTCCCCTAATGGGACCAGAGGAAGAGAACCACTTCTTATAGCCAAGCCAAGCAAGGAAAGCTTCAGGGATGACCTATTACCCCAACCCCATTGAATGCACACCAGAGAAAGTGGGCCGAGCCTTATACCCTCCAGCAAAGATGGCTCTCGGAGAAGGCGGGAAGGGAGGCTGGGAGGCCACTTGACTAAGGTCATACACTAAATAAGAGTCAGAAGAAGTGGACAATATGTACAGATGTTTCTTTAGTTCTCCAGCCTCACCAGGGGAACGTTCCAAGTGGAGGCATCAGGCTTCTGCCCTGCCACAGCCACCCACCCCCAGGCTTTCTCCAGGAGGAGGGAATGTCCCCAGGGCTGCCACTCCCCACAGGAGGCTGAAGCCAGAGATCTGGGGTAGGTTTGCTCTATGGAACTCGAAGGGTGTCAGGCTCTTCCTAGCAGGTGCTGAGGTCCAGATTTGGGTAAGGGGTGGAGGAAACGGGACAAGGGACAGGCTATTTCTTGCGAGTGTGCTGCCTTCGGGCCTGCAGTCTCTGTCGAGCCCCTGGGGTCTTGGATCCTGCACCAATGGAAAACGAAGGGGCCGCTGATCCTGGAGAGATTGAACAGGATTTCATCAGGGCAGCTACTACCAGTGAAAATATTCTCTGGGTCCCTAAACTTGGGAAAGCTAGGTCCTTAATAGAATACTGGGTGTTTGAAAAGGGCTTCCTAATCTGCATCAGAAGCAGAAGCACTGCATGGGCAGAGCCTATTAAGATGCAAACCTGTCCAAGAAAGTGAGGGTGAAGCCCACAAATGCATTTTGACCTGGCCCCGTGAGTAATCTGGGATCTCCTAGCAACCCCTCTTAATCTGCCACCCAACTCCACCCCCTGGGTTGTGCTGGACTCCTGGCCAACTGCATCTTTCTCATGCCATGAGCCAGGGTTTCTCGGTGAGCCAGAACCTACCACCCAATGCTACCCCTCCTCAGGAAGGACTGAGCAGGCCATAATGGCAGAGACTTGCTGCTTACCGAAAGGTCCAACTCCAACAAAGCCTTGACTGGGTGTTGAGGATGCCCCAAAGGAGAGGTTGCTGCCTGATGTACCCACACCAGTGGCAGTGGTGTTCTGACCAAAGGTGGGCGTCGACGTGCCTGGAAGGGAGGGCAGATCTGTAAAGGCGGCCAGGGGACGGACAGCATTCAATGAACTTAGGAAAGAAGCCTGCTCCCTAAGGGGCATTCCACAGGACACCCAAGCCCTGGGCTACTCTGCTGGTTCATGCCACCCAAGGGAGCTACAGAAAATTAGTCTCAATATCTGGTGCTCCAGGTGAGCCTGCCCTCCCAGCCCATGAAGTGCTGTGCTGTAGCAGAGAAAAAGCCTCTCAGTGATGTCTTCTGGTCATTTAAGGAGTCAGGCCTCTGCATCCCCTTGATCACTACACCACGCTGAGGGAAGCACTTGGTGCCCGGCTCCTCTCAGCTTGACCAGGTCACTTGCCTTATTCCATCAAACTAAATCTCCTTGGGGCCAGCCCTGTAGCCTAGTGGTTAGGTAGCCAGATCCCAAATGGCTGGGTCTGAGCCCAGGCTCCAGTGGATTGAACATGCAGGTGTGTGTATATACCCAAAAGCCCAAGAAGGGGCTACAGTGAGACCATGCTCCACTAGGCAGTGTTTTCTTTCTCTCTGGGAAATGCACAATGTCCTCCAGCAATTAAAAAAGAAGGTGACTGATCTCCCTGTTTTGTATTTTCTCCTCTCCAGAGAAGCCTGATTCTTCCATCAGACTCACCACCACTCCACACTGTCAGTCCTCTCATCTTCCCAGGCATCTTTCCCTTCCCCTCACTTTGCCCCAGGTGAATCCTGGCCCTCCTACACAACGCTGCTTTTCAGCCCTCTCTTTCACCTGCACCTGTCTCGGGGCCTCGGAAATGGTTAGGTACCCTCTTTGCTTGCTGATGGTATTTCCAAATCACTTCCCTCTTCCTCCAAATACCTCAAACTCATCTGAAGTTGGGATCATCTGACTTAATCAGCACCAGCCCTGGCCTTGTTAGTGCCATCTGTTGAGGACACCTGGCTGCCATCTCCCCAAGTCCACCCATCACCATTCTTGGTGACTTCACTCTGAGTATGACTTCTACTCAGTCCCTTGGCCCTGCTGCTGCAGTGATCTTTTCCTCTATTCTACCTCTGCCACACATTCCTACGGTCACACCTTGTCATCCACAGGAGCTCCTGCTCCCAAATCCCACATGAGCAGTGCAGTCTTCCTTCAGCTCCTTTCTTGCAGGACTCCCCTTCTGCAACCTCTCAGCCTCACAAATCCACTGCCCTCTGGCTACAAAGACTCCACTGAACAGGCTGGTTCACCAGCTCTGTTTATTTTAGGTCTAAACTTCAAAAGCTGAATACTGCTGTTGAAACACACATAATGCCAACTGGCCTTGCCTTAAATTCAGTTTTCTGGGGACCAGCAGATAGTATAATGGTTACACTGCTAGACTCCCATGTAGTTGACCATGGTTTGAGTCCTGGATGCAGCTGCTTAAAACTCACACCAGGCACCATATACATGCATGCCCAAAATCCCAAGAGGAGAACAGATTATGGCATGGCCATCCCCCCAGGGAGTGATTTCTCGCTTTCCATCTCTCCAGTAAGTGCAAGTGGCCTATGGCAAAAACCTCTCTAAAAAATGAATAAATATATTCAATCTTCCAGCCCACAGAACTACTCCTCTCCCCCTGGGACCAGCAGTTAGCATTATGGCAATGTCGCTGGACTCCCATGTAGTCGATCATGATTTGAGTCCCGGACCCAGTGACTTAAAATCACGTCCCGGACCCAGTGACTTAAACTCACGCGGGGCACATGTGTGTGCATGCCCAAGATCCCAAAAGGAGAATAGAGAAGGGATTGCGATGTGGTCATCCCCCCTGGGGGGTGACTCCTCGCTTTCTGTCTCTCTGGCTGTCTGTCTTTCTGGTGAGCGCACGCGCCCTATGGCAAAAGAACCTTTCAAAAAAAAACAAAAAACAAAACAAAACACTACTCCTCCCTACCCCCGGCACTGTAGGGTGTGTGCATTTGCTGGAGAGGAGAGAAAGCGAGAAATTCCCCCCCCCAGGGGGGTGGCCATACCACAATCCCTTCTATTCTATTTTCCTCTCTGGATTTTGGGCACATACACATGCCCAGTGTACTTTCTGTGGGACCCACCAGACTTAACCTCCACACCACCTGTTAGCCCAAATCTGACTTATACTACATTCCTTTTGCCACTGCCCAAAATGACTATTCCAAGAGGCCCTCCATTTATACACTTTACCCTAACCCATTCCTCAAGGCTCTCACAGTTAATGAAGGAAGCAGAAGCTATTAGGATCAGAATTCATCTTCCACATGGAAAAGCACTTTCTTCTGCTTGAAATTCTACAATGACTTCCTTCAATTTTTTTTTTAATAGTGAGAGCAACTGAGCTCAGACCTACGAAGGAGTGGGAGCAAGGCATTCC